AAAATATAATACTTAAGTATAAATATAACAAAACACAAATAGGATCTCTATGCTGGAAACTATAGAACACTGATGCAAAAATTCAAAGATCAAAATAAATGATGAGATATATCTTGTTCAGGGATTGGAAGATTTTCCTATTCAAGATAGGAAAGAGGTCAATTCTTCTCAAATTGATCCATAGGTTTAGTTTATTTTCTATAAAAATTCCAGGAAGATGTTTTGTAGATACAGGCAAGATTGTTTAAAAATATACAGAGAAAGGCAAAGGAACAAGAATAGCTATGTCATTTCTGAAAAAGAATAAAGTGCAAGGAATTATTCTACCTAACATTAAGATTTACTGTATAGCTATAGTAACCAAGACAGTGTGATATTGACAAAGAAACAGGCACATAAATTAATGGAACAGAATAAGGATCCTAGCATAGATGAACACAAATATATTCAATTGATTTTTGACAAAGGTACAAAAGCAATTCAATGGAGGAAGGATGTTTTCAACAAATGGTGCTATGACAACTGGACATCCATACACAAAAACAAAATGAACCAAAACCTGAACCTCACACTATATGGAAAAATTAATTCAAAATGGATAAACATTTAAATAAAAACAACACTATTTTTAAAATTTTAAAGGAAAATATAGAAGAAAATCTAGTCGGGCTCAGTGGCTCAGCCTGTAATCCCGCACCTTTGGGAGGTTGAGGTGAGTGGACTGCCTGAGCCCGCGGGTTCAAGACCCTCCTGGGCAGTGAGACCTCATCTCTACAATAAATCAAAAAATCAGCCGGGCGTGGTAGCGCATGCCTGTAATTACGGCTACTTGGAAGGCTGAGGTGGAAGGATCGCCGGAGCCCAGCAGGCGAGGCTGCGGTGGCCAGGAGCAGCCACTGCACTCCAGTCTGGGCAACAGAGTGAGATTCCAACTCAAAAAAAAAAAATCAGAAATTTATTCTGTAATAGTACTGGAGATTAGATGTCCTGTATCAACATGTCAGCTGGGCAATACTCCCTCTGAAGGCTGTTGAAAAAGGATTCTTCCTTGCCTCTTCCTAACCTCCTGGTGGTTGCTGGCAATCCTTGTCTATAGATGCATCACTCCAATCTCTGACTTTCAATTTTTTTGTCACATGCTGTTCTTCCTGTGTGCCTGTGCACAAATTTATCTCTTATTATAATGGTGCCAATTATTGAATTAGAATCCACTCTAATTCTGTATAAACTCCTTTTAATTTGATTATATCTGCAAATACCTATTTTCCTATAAGATCACATTAACAAATACTGAAGGTTTTGCAGGACACAATTAAGCCCACGACATAAACCATATAGTCAACAAAGGCCTTATATATATATACTATATAAAGAACTCTCAAAACTCAACAGTAAAAAAATCCAACTATAGAATAAGCAAAAGACATTCACATATATTTCACCAAAGAGAAGGCTTGGATGTCAAATAAACACAGAAATATATGCTCAACATCATTAGCCTTTAGGGAAGTGCAAATTAAAACTACAAGGAGATATCACTTTGTATTATTATATTTTGAATTTTAGCTGTTCCAATAATATGTTGTGACTAAAAGGAGGCCCAAACTTCACCTGTATGATGACTACTTGTATACCTAATCTTGAATTGTACACCACATCTTTAAAATAAAAAAAAAATTTAAATATGATAATACAAAATGCTGGTGAAGATGTGGATAAATTACATTACTCATACATTGCTGGTGGGTATGTAAAGGGGTGCAGATTCTCTGGAAAGCACTTTTACAGTTTCTCATAACTTTAAACATAGTCTTACCATATGACCCAGCAATCTCTCTCCAGAACGTGAAAAAATGAAAACATGTCCACACAAAAAAGTGAACACTGTTATTCATTGTAACTTTATAATAGCAAAATACTGGAAACAGTCCAGTTGTCCTTCAGTGGGTGACAGTTGCAGTGTCCTACTACTCAGCAATAAGAAAGAATGAACTATTGATAACATGTAAAAACTTGAATGGACCTTAATGGCATTTTTCTTAGTGAAAAAAGTCAATCTCAAGAGGTCATGTACTGTATGATTCCGTTTATCTAATACTCTCGAAATGACAAAAAAAACACAACAGATTAGTGGTTTTCATGGAAAAGCAATGGGGGCTAGGTGCAGATCCAAAGAAGTAGAACAGTGGAGTTATTTTGTGGTAATGAAGACAGTTCTGTATCTTGATTGTGGTGGTGGTTGCACGAATCTATACTTGACGTGAAATTGCACAGAACTATATACACACATGTGAATGCAGGTTTAAAAATGGACAACTGAATGAGATCTTTAGTTCAGTTAACAGCATTATACCTAGAACAATTTTCAGGTTTTGATATTGTACTACAGCTAATGAGATGTCGCCATTGGGAGAAGCTATCTTGCAGCTTCCAAGAAGCTGCAAACTTGGCTGATACACTTGATTACATTTAAAAGGTCTGAGTGTCAAGTGTGTGAATTCTATTAAATTATTTAATTACTCACTTACTTTAAGCTGTATTTAGTAGTAATAAAGATTTACTGAGCACTCAGTATGTGTGAGACACAATGCTAAGCATTTTGCATTTATTATCTCACACTATAGTTAGAATTAGATATTATTATGTCACCTGCCTTTTACAAATCAGAAAACTGAAATTGCAAGAAGTTCACTAACTAGCCCAGGTCACAAATCTGTAAGTGGCAGAACTAAGACTTGTATGCATCTAGGTCTATCTGACTCCAAAGCTTGTGATCGATCCTAGGCATAATGCTGTAATGATTCCATGCTTGAGCAGTTGTGGGACCAAAATGAGGCATCGCATGTCAATTGCCTAGCTCAGTGTTGGAACATAGCCGGTATCCAGTGAATAGCATGTTTTTATTATCATCATCTTCCTCATTAGTATTTATTAATTGTGGTCTTAGCCTTACCATTGAGGGATAGCTGGTCCTAACACTTAAAACAATGTGACTAGTGCCAGAAGAAAAGACTCCAATCCTTATCTGTAAAATCATAAAAATATCTACCCACAGAGTTATCATGAGTTTTGAGTAAAATTAAACGTTATAATATATGTGAAAAGTGCTCTGTAAACAGTAAAGTTCCCTGCGTGCTGGCCGCATTGCATTTTATTCCATTAGTTTACTACCAGATTGGCAGCTAAAAAGCTTTTTGTCTCTCAGCCATGCCACGATCCACAAGCTCATCACCCTACTCGCTCGCTGTGTGTTTCTATGGCATCAATCACCATAGTTTCTAGATTCTCTGACAGAAATATTAGGTGAAAGGCAGTTTAACAGAAGGAATCCGTGAATTCGATTCAAAAAACTCCATCCTCTCCACCTCAAAGCAGTGTTTAGTTGAGTAGCAGTAGGTCACATGTTCATGACTTCTCATTCATTGCTTCCAGATTCTTTTTGCAAAACTTAAATAAAATGATAAATTTCAAGTTATTTTGTAAGCTTTCAATAATGGATAGGTCTCTCTGAAATAATTTTCTCCCGGGATAAATGTCACAGTTATTCCTCTACACCAGGGATTGGCAAACTGTAACGTAAGCCAAATCCGACCTGCCATCTGTTTCTGTATACCCCATGAGCTAAGAGTGTTTATTACATTTTTTTAATACTTGAAAGCAAGTAAAAATAATATTTCACAACATGTGAAAATTGCATGAAATTCACATTTCAGTGTCCATAAATAAAGTTTCATGGGAACATATCCACTCTCGTTGTTCATGCAGAAATTAAGTAGTTGTAAAGCCAAAAATATTTACTATCTGACCCTGTACAGATATCTTATCAAGCTCTGCTTTACGTGATAAGAACATTAGTAATAAGCAACAGCTAGGTCTATAATCAGACTACACTGAACCTGACCACACACCCCTATGCACCACTCACATCATTTCCTCTTTGCTCCTCTCGTGTTTTAAAAACATACCTATATTCCACACTACAATGCAAGTTCTTTGGAGGACAAGGTTTGCTTTTCTTCTGTTTCACATTTGTATTCCATATTGTGCCTAGCACAGTGTTTTACTCATAATAGACAAATAATGAATGTTTTTTTAAAAAAACAGAGTTGGATCAAATTTCCATAGCAACTGAATTTCAAGACTGAAGGTTCACTGTGAAGAATCCTTTATAACCGGTTTATTCCATTCAGTGCTGAAGGTCAGATGTCAAAATGCTATAGGTAAAGCAGTATTTAAACTCTGTGGCAAAAAGAAAAATTCACAAATCACGATTCTGTTTAGATGTCTGTTATTTTTACTGTCAGAGTAAAAAAAGACCTTTCTAAATAATGTCACAAAACTCAAAAACCATACAAGAAAAGGTTGATACACTTGACTACATAATAAGAATTTCTACAAAATGACTTAAACAAAATAAAAAGACAAACTGAGAGGAAAGAGAATTTTTATCAGATAAAGAGAAAATTTCCCTAAATGAGTTGTGTTTACAAATCAGTAAGGGAAAGACCAACAAGCCTTACAGAAAAATAAGTGAAGATGAACAAGCCGTTCACACAACAACAAATACAAATGGCTGTTGACATATTAAAAAAGGCTCAGCTATAGTAACGATAAGAGAAAACAAAGTTAAATTCTACAATGATAACAGTTTTACCTACAACATTGATAAAGTTTAATGATACATTTTATTGACAAAAATACAGGAAAACAAGCACTCCCATATATTGCTGGTAGAGTTGTAAACTTTCTCTGCATGAAAATTCACATGACTTTTAACCTAACAGATCCACTTCTAGGAATTTATTCTACAGATGTACTCATATGTGTGAAATTATCTACACATGCAGTTATTGCAGCATTTTTTATAACAGCAAATTATTAGAAAAAAACTAAATATAAATCAGTAGGTGACTAAATCAATGATGTTAAATTCATACAACAAAATACTATAAAAAAAGAAGGAAACAACTCGGCTGTGGACCCGGCGTTCGATCCTCTGCTTGGCTCCCTCTGGCGCCGAGATACCTAAGAAAGCTGGTGCAATGACCAAGGTTAAAAGCCAGAACAAGCAACCAGAGAGACCACTTCCTCCCTCAGGTCCTGTGGCAGTTGATTCTAAAGGCTGTGTCACCATAGCTATCCATGCGAAGCCTGGGTCCAAACAAAATGCTGTGACAGATTTGACAGCAGAAGCCATAAATGTAGCTATTGCAGCACCTCCATCAGAGGGAGAGGCTAACGCTGAACTCTGTCAGTATCTTTCCAAGGTCTTAGAACTCAGGAAGAGTGATGTGGTTTTGGATAAGGGTGGAAAATCTCGTGAAAAGGTGGTGAAGCTTTTGGCCTCCACAACTCCAGAAGAGATCTTGGAGAAATTGAAAAAGGAAGCCCCCCAAAAAGTAAAAGCAAGAAATAAAAATATTCTTTTGAGAAATATTTTTATTGCTAATGATGAAAAGGCTGTTAAATAGGAAAATATGTTTATATGCACAGAAGAACAAGGGAAAATACATATATATATTTGAATAAGACTCCCAAAAAGTAGACATTTAAAGAGTCCTATATATCGAATTCTAGTTTCAAAATCCCTGACCTCAAACAGCCTGCAACATGTTACTCTGATTTCATGACATCACAAAATACCATAGCTGGAAAGAATTTTCAAGATGACCTGATTTAACATCTTTCATTCTGTGATGGAGCTTCTGATACCCCAAAGTCGAGAGACTTATTCAAGATCACACCATACAAGAGGACAGCTGGAGCCCAGATTTCTGGACTCCTTGTTGAATGCAGTTTATCCTGATTGTAAATTAAAATTATCTCCACAACTGTTCTGGAATTCTGGGGATTACTTTCTAACCCAGTTTACAAGTGACAGAGAGGAACCTTTCATACTGCTTTGTAGTCTCACTTTATATCTTAAGATAGTTATCTAAAAGTGTTTTTTACATTTTTTAAAGACTGTATTGGACATTTTGTGAAAAAGTAAATAAGAATAACCAGACTGGGGGGAAAAAAGAATGAAGAAGTGTATTATATACAAGGAACAGGAAAAATGGCAAAATTTTCAATGTATACCCTTTTGTACATTTTGAATTTGTACCATGTGATACATTACTCTTAAAAAATTTTAATTTTTGAAATGTGTGCTTATTTCTTGCTTCTTAATAGTGGATACTTGAGTTTCTTCTATTGTCAGTCCCTATACCTATGCCATATGTTTCTTTTGTATCTACTCAGCTTATAAAACATCTTAAAAATAAATGTCTATTTTGAAGGATAAGAATTTTTTTTGGGGGGGAGCAGGATTTATTGAGAGGACAGAAAAGCTCCCAGAGCAGGAGAGGACCCAAGGGGCTGCCCTGAACGGTAAGAATTTCTTAATTGAAGGAAGGTTGTGGGCTATTGGTCAGAAACTTTAACACTCCCCAAAAACTGACTGAGTCTGGAGTTTTGCCATGAAAATCAAGATTTGTGGAAATACAAACACATTTTAATTTAGTCACAGGCAGTGATGGTAATGAATATAGGCAAAACTCTCACTTATAGTGAATCATTAATTTTGACAATAAGAGTGTAAATAGGACCATAAATAGAATTTCCAATTATTCTCCTATGCCAAATTCATCAGTTAGTCATGACACATATTTATAAAAAGTGATATTTCCCCCTTATTTTTCTGCACCCTGTTCTATGCAGCCTAGTACTGATCATGAGAAAATAAAGGTTTCTGACTCTGCCCGGGTCACTTTTGGTTTGTCATCTCTTTCAGACAACCTTTCCCCACAAATGTCAAACAAAATTTGAATAATTAATGGCCACTTCATAAGCCAACTAAATTAGAAAATTTATTCTCTGAGCGCATTCTTTCTAGGGGTGAGATTTAGTTTAAAACACATCCATATGTATATAAAATTAACTGTTATAATAGCAATTAATTTTACTCATACCAGTTACCAGGTCTGAACTTTTTCAAGTTTCAGTGTAAGATTCTAGCATCCAAATAATATACCATATGATTTTAAAATTCTAGGACTAGCCAATGCTTTCTAATGACATTAACAACACCACACTGTATTGTGTTACTGCCTGTTTGCTTGTCTGTCTCCCTTACTAGCTTATGAGCTCTATAAGAGAAGGAATAAATGGTACATTTTTTTTTCAGCTGAAGTTTCTTCCTCTTGATACCCATAAACATTTGGCATAGAATAGACGTTCAGTCGGTTGTTGCATGAATGAATAACTACCCTTTCCTGTTGTTTTCTGTCACATTTTTAAAATTAGTAGTATTCATAAGTGGACCCTGAACATTTACCATAATACTATAAGAAAGGGATTGGCAATAGTGGGATACTGCCAGGGTTGGGGGGAGGGACACTTCATCGGTAAGTTTCCCTAATCTCAAACCAGGCAAAATGGGGGCCAAAGGGAGGCCCATACTTTACCTGTATGATGTCCACTTGTTTACCTAGTCCTGAATTGTACCCCACATCTTTAAAATACAATATTAAAAAAATAAAGCAGGAGTATTTAGAGATTTTATTGTGTAGATCTGAGGGTAAAAGTAATCTGTGAAGAATATGCAAGACTCCCCTGTAGTGCTATACTGTCCTCATGAACCACTGACCAACTACACCCTATATCATGTAATCTACAACTACTGGTGTTCAGAAAGAATCAAGTATATGTAAGAACCCCAAAGAATAAATAAACACCAAGTCTGAACCACTGCACTCTTGACCTTCACACTAATTTATGACTTGTTAAATTTTTTTTGTTCTTTGCTGCTTGATTCGCTAACCACTATAGGTAAAAACAGATCCAGACAGCACGCAACAGAAAAGCTCAGAGTTCAAGTGAGTTTGTCTATGGCTTAAACCTCCATTTAGTAGTTTAAATGGCAATTAAATGCTTATAGTACACCTGAGTACATGTTCTTAACTAGATTTACTGCTCTTATTTATTTTTGTCTCTAAGCCTCTTGCCACCCTATAAACCAGGAGTTGGTAAACTATGGTCCATGGACTGGGCAAGCACTTTTGTAAATAAAATGTGGTGGGAACACAGCCATGCTCATTTGTTTATGCATTGCTGGTGACTGCATCCATAGCATGGCTGAGTAGCTGTGCCAGAGACTGTCCACAAGCCTGAAATATTTACTATTGAACCCTTTACAGGAAACATTTGCTGTCTCCTGCTATCTCTGCAGTATCATATGACAACAGCTCTAAAGAAGGTACAGTCCATCAACAAATAACTAGTATTTAACTGAGCTCTAATATGTGGCAGGCACTGAAAATTAAAAGATGATGAAGACCTTGAATACTGTTTGTACAGATCATACTTCCAGCACCAAGAAAAGGACATATTCTCATCCCATATGACAAAGTAAACAATGTTGCATCTGAAATCTAAATGTTACAGTGAAAAAAAATAACAGACAGCATGGAAATCTGAGGCAGATGAATCTGTTCTGTCTTTCACAGAAGCAATTACATACTTTCTAGAAACCTAGAAAAGTGTCATTCATTCCAGCTGAGAAACACCTAACTCAATGGACTGATATATGTTGTATCGAAAGGAGAAAGACCTCTAACTTAGTTACTACTATTTCTAATAACAAATACATATAGCATTTACTATATACCAGACATATATTAGACATATTAGACACTATATACACACATTAGACATTTGTCTAATGCTAATAAATACTCTGTGAGTTAGGGGCTATTCACATCATCTTCACTTTACACATGAGGAAACTAAGTTACAGAGTGGTGAGGTAACTAGCCCAAGTCACACAGCTAGTTAAGTGGGAGATTAAAACTTTCAATCTGTGTAGTTTGACTCTGGCGTCTGGGCTCTTAACCATACATACTATCTTCAATCAATTCTGCGACTTCAGACATAAAATTAAAATGTTGGCCTTGATTTCTCAGGTTCTTTCAACCAGAACTTTCCAGGATTCTTGATTTTAGTAGACATTTAGATGTACCTAACTATGGAAATTACAAAAGGCAAAGCACATATTATTCATTTATTCAACAAATAATTAATGAGTGCCTACAATGTGCCAAGCCATGTTTCAGGCACTAGAGATACAACAGTGAGCAAAACAGACAAAAATCCCTGCTCTCATAGTGCTTGCATCTAGTGGATGCAGTAATAATAATTGCAAACATTTGCAGAGCTCTTAAAATGTGCCATGTGCTGTGTTATGTAATTGACGTGGACTGTCTCTTTTAATCTTCACAGTTATCACTAGCCCTATTGTACAGATGAGAAAACAGATTTTACCAGTTAAGTACTTTCCAAAGGTCACAGCCAGTAAGTGACAGAGCCTAGATCAGTTTACTTGAGGAATTCATATGCTAGTTCATGTCACACTACTTCCCTTTTAAGGAATTTATAACTGATTGACTGGCTATCATACAGTTATAGTGAACTGGCTTAAAACAAAAATAAAAACTCTTGGTATTTTCATAGTTACTTTTTTTTTAAAAAATGGGAAAAATAGTTTATTTAGAAAGTAAATTAGAGAGAGAGAGAGAGAAGATCCGCCTTCCCAAGGTAGGGGAGGGGGCCAAAGCTTAAGAAAACAATGGCTGCCATAGCTCAAAGAGCCACATGGCCAGACCAGAGCTTAACAAAGCAATGGCCGATAGTTACCTTTTAGGGGAAGCAAGGGTAATGGTAGGAACTTGATCTGCAAAGTAAAGTCAGAAACTCTGAGCTGACAGGCCAGAGCTCATGAAGTACAGAATCTTACAGGACATCAGAAACTCTAAACTGACAGGCCAGAACACAAGGTCATCTATATGATGACCCCAGGGCCTCTTAAGAGGAATCACAAAAGGAATTTAGAGATCAATAGTCTCCCCTAATACTAGGATTAAAAATTCTGGGATAAAAAAAAGTTATCTCAAAGATTCCCCTAACCGCTGGCTGGGGAAGTGGAGAAATGCCCCAGGATGACAGAGGATCACTCTTAAAAAAACCTCTACCCCTTAAAAATATTTGTGCCTTGGGTTTTGAAGTTTGAATTCATTAAATAATTAATTTCTTTCCCAGAGTGATCTCGATCAAATGCTCTCTATCCCAGATCCTGGAAGAACTTGTTCCTCCAATTTCTCCACTCCAGCTCTTGCCTGTACCTCCAATTCATTAAATCTACCACTTTTCACTAACCAGCTTCAATCCTCATGTCTCCATTTCCTTCCTTATCCAGCTTAGACCCCATGATCCAACACTATGATCCTCCCCTCACATATATCTTCAAATGAATGACCCCTCTCTCTCTCTGTTTTGCCAGGCCAAACCTCAGCTGTGGTTAAACCTGACTTCTCACCTATTCTCTACCAGCTCTTGAACAGCTAAACCTGCCTGGAGGGAAGCAATAGCCATGCTGACTAGTCTCACTTAACATTTTTCTCAAAACCTCAAGTATTTCCCTGCTTCTTCTCTT